GGGCAAGCTGCAGCCTCACCGAGAGCGAGCAGCCGGAGGCTGGTCGACGCACTGGTCCACGTCGGCGCCACCTCGCGCCCGTCTCGCGAGGCCGGCGGCGGCGACGCCACCGAGCCTCTCTCTCGCTCTCTCTCTGTCTCGCTCTGTCTCTCTCTCTCTCTCTCTCTCCGCTGCATTGGCACACGCCGCGGCCGCCAGGCCACGGGATGGTCTGACTGCGGCAGCTTGGCCCCGCGCTGACGCGGGGGTGACCCCAGCGCGGGCGCTCAAGGTGGAACGCCGCCAGCGGCCCAGAAGCGACGAGAGAGCGCTTTCTGCGGCTGCTGGCAGGGGGCAGGGGGGTTCAACCCCACCCCCCTCCCCAAACTGAGGGGGGAGTAAGGGGGCCAGAGGGAAAATTATTCGGAGGGGTCCAGAACCTCCCCCACCCCGGAAAAAATATTAGAGGGGTCCAGAGCGCACCCTCCCGGGAAAATCGTTCGAAGGGTTTAGAACCCGCCCCCCGTCGACCGCATAGAACCGACGACGACGACGACGACGACGACGACGACAACGTCGCAGCCGGCAATCGACGCGGACGACGACGACGACGTCGCCGCGGGCAAACGACGCGGACGACGACGACGACGACCATAACGACAACGATGATGACGACAGCGACTCCGACGACGACGATGACGATGACAACGGCGACGACGAGGACGACGAAGACGACGAAGACGGCGACGACGACGAGGACGCCTACGACGACGCCGACAGAGACTACCATCGAGCCGTAGTGGGATGAGTTTAGAGGCGGATCGAACAACAGTGACGATTTACTAACGTTGGGTCGAACATCTGATCGAATTCCGTCAGACCTGGGTCCAGCCTTGATATGAATCTACTCGAGGTGGACCCAGTGCCGTAATAGGATTTTATCGGTGCTGAATTGAGCCCTTGTAGGATTATTCTACGCGAGCTGGGCCCAGGCCTAGTAGAATTCCGTCAACGCTGGATCGAGTTCTTGTAGGATTCCATCATCGTTGGGCCGAGATCTCGTAGGATTCTGAGAGAGTTGGACCGACCCCTGGAAGGATGTAGTTAGAGTTGGATGGAGCCCTAGCTAAGAGGCGGATCAACCCCGAGGTAGGGTTCGATTAGAGTCGGATCCAGCCTAATAAGAGTTCCAGTGGAGCTACATCCAGCCTTCATGGGATTGTGTTAGAGGTGGATCGGCAATTTAGTGAGATTTTAGTGGGGTTGGATCCCAGCAACATAGGATGTATTAATAGTTGGGTCGAGCCGTACTATTCTATTCAGCTGAATCCAGACTTGGCAGAGCGACTGAAGTAGAGATGCAGGATCGAATCCCATCAGCATTCAATCGGAGCTGGAACGAACCCCAATAGGATCTAATTGTAGTTTTATCCAGCCCTACAATATTTCTATTTGAGCCAGAACCAGCTTCAGTAGGTGTCCATTCGAGGTGGAGCGGACTCCGATTGGATTCGAGTTCAGCTATTTTCTAGCATTTGTAGCATTTTATCCAGGCGGGCGCTTGGCTTGGGCGCCTGCGACAGGTGATCCCCCGCCGCCGCTGACGCTGTCGCCGCCGTCGGCGTCGTCGTTGGAGTCGTCGTCGGTTTCGTCGTCTTCGTCGTTTTCGTCGCTGCCGTGGGCGTCGTCGATGTCGTCGTTGTCGTTGTGGTCGTCGTCGTGGTCGTCGTCCGCGTCGTCGTCGTCATTTTCCGCCTCCTCCTCCCTCTTCACGCTAGACCAACATTAGGTGCGAGCTTGTTGCGTTGAAGCCTTCTCTTCCTCTCCGACCCCGCGCTTTATGGCAGAGAGTGGTTTCCTGCTCGACGCTGCCAGATCGCATCGCTCACCACTCTGCCATGATGAGAAGAGCGCAGCCGCTTGACTCGAGGCCGAAAGGGGCCCCTGTCTGAAGGCGTCTGGGGCGAGGCTTCCCAAGAGGCATTGAGAGCGATGGGTGGCGATGGAGATGCGCTCGACAACAACGCGATCATTGTCACCGACGCGTGCTGCTGCATGTACGACGGCTGCCTCTTCGGGGATGGGTGCGTGGGGTGCATGGCGAGCGAGACGATGTGCTGCCTCGAGATGGAATTCTGTTGCAAGCAAGGCGCACCGTCGCTCTGCTGCGTTTGTTGCGCGCTGCGCTGCGTTTCGCCTACCGTGTGCATCAAGTCGCAGGGCCAGATGTGTTGCCTTGCCGGCGCGGCCGCAATCCCGTGCGACGAGGAGGTGCCTTGCATGGTCGGCACGTGCGGCATCATCTGCTACCCGACAGTCGCCATCTGCAAGACGCTGGCCGAGATCACGGGCAAAGAAGGTGATGCCCCCCCGGCGGAGCAGGTGGGCTGAGGCCATCGTTTCCCCGTCCTCCGCTTGCTTTCAGTGACGGGCTAAGTGCCACGTAAGTCTCAGAGGTTTTTGGGAATTCCAACGCTGGCCATGCTGCCAGCATGGCCGCAAAGTCGTGCCAGGTTTCCGTTTCAACACGGGCCATCGCGCAGCAGCCGCCCGAAGCCATCGGTTGCTTGCGCAAGGCCAGGTGGGGAGGATAAAAACACCCAGCCGCGTTGGGAGAGGGTCCAGAGAGAGAGAGAGAGAAACAGGTACGCTAGCGCTTCTGAACCCGGGGCTTTCCCCAGGGTCGGCTTCATCGTGAGACGTCCTTTGATGGCCCTGGGGCTTGGAATGGCCCCCGAGAGGCCGAAGAAGACCAAGCAGGAGTTTTGTGTTTGTTGTTATTGTTGTTGTTGTTGATGATGATTGCGATGCTGTTGTTGATGTTGTTGTTGGTGTTGTTGTTATTGTTGTTGCTGTTGTTGTTGTTGCTGTTGCTGTTGTTGTGTTGTCCACATGGCGGCTAACGGTCTTGTAGAGACCCCTGGCCCCGAAGCGTCGGAGGCCTTCGAAAGCCCAGGTAGGGGAAACCAAGATTTGATCCTCGAGCCTCGACGTTATCGAACCGCATCGTCCATCTTCAGCTTTTCGCCCCTTGCGGGTTGTTGACGGCATGTGGGCCCGGACAGAGCAGCTGCGAGACACTTTTCCCCGACGTCGTGTTTTTTCCACAACGTAGGCTCCTGAACGTCTCGACCCCTTCCCAGGTACTGGCTTTTCATCCCGAGTTGACTTTGGACAGTCCCAGGGCCGCAGTGAGGACCCAAGAGGCCGAAGATACCAATACCTTCCGTCATGTGTTTCTCACGGCGCGAGGACGTCAGCGTCAACAGTCGAGTTTGACTAGTAGGTTTAAGTCGGGCATGCCCCTCTGAAGGGTGACTATTCCACATGGGTGGACAAGTGGTCCGGTGGCGATCGTTCGAGCTTGTCTGGCTAGTGTTGATTACGTTTTCACTATGCTTTACAATTGCTCTTCAAATCCGCCTGTAGGAGGTCATGCCTGATCTAATATTAAGTCGGGCGTGTCCCTCTACAGGAGGTACATTCAAACATACAAGAACAATGAATGCTTTTCGGTTTGGCTGGCGGGTGATCTCGTTTCCTTGAGGGATGTTATTATGTCTTAGGTCTGGCTGTAGAGGGGCTTGCAGGATTGCAGATCCATCGCCGATGCATCGGCGATGCAGCTTGATAAAGAGCCCGATTACCTCCACGCTGGCGGCGCAGATGCATCGCCCACGTCGCCGATGCATCGCTGGTGCATCGGCGATGCGGCGCGACTTCCGACCCCATCTACTCGCAGCCCGACGGTAATAACGAGTACCCCCCATGTACCCATTGAGTCTTATATTTGATTTTCCCTGGGACTGAGTGTGGCGAATTGCCACAACAGGCGGTGAGGCCGAACTTTATCATCACACCCAAAGTTCCTATCGTAGCTCTGTGGTTCAGCTCATGAATATCACCATGAGTAGTCCTTTATCGCTAGTTTTGTGAGGATGCCTCACGCGAAACGCGCATGTTCGAAAAGTCGTCAAATTTGCGACTATCAGCTTTCAGAGGATGACTCAATTGGAACTCTGGGTGTTCTTATGTTCTAACAAACACTGTCGCGAACATGTTTGGTGTCTCAGGCGAAACGCTCAATTTTTCTAGGTGCCCCTCCCCTTCTTCCGTCCCCATCTCCGAAATCTCCAAGAAGGCGCCCCGAGAGGGACCAATATACAATTTCACCATAGTTGTTCACAGGAGTTGTGCTCTTCCCCTCCAGGGAGGCCCTGAAGAAGGATCATGGTGGCTCCATCATGGAGGCTGTTGGAGACCGATCCAGACATCCTACCATCTATATCTCTGAGAAGAATTCAATCCTTTCTGGATTCCGAATTTGATTATCCCTGCGGGACTATTCTCTCAAGAATCGGAGGCCTCATATATACGACCCTCGGATTTGTCGGTCTGGACTTCCCGAAGGGATATGGGCGCGTGTTCTCGGGTGAGTATCGCCGCTCGACTGAGGGCCCCTCCCGGTGTCCGACAGCCCGCACCCATACCTACAGTGTAGCCTCAAATCGCGGAGTGCAGGTCAGCATGTTTTACAAGTATTGGTACGTGTGTTGTCTGTTCTTCCTAAGAGTGGCTCGGAGGAGCAAGAAGTCATGATACTGATACGTTCCGAGATGTTCATGATTTCCCGAAGTCACTGATGTTCAATACGGGCTGCAGATGCGAAGGCCGCCAGATACTCCAGACTTCCGTAAACGCATCCTTAAATATCCTCTTCACCCTGTAGTGATCCTTCGCCAGGGTGACCTGTGGTGCGGGCCTACGCCTTTTCTGGCGCGCTCGGACTGCACTTCTCCCCCGCGGCCTGCTGAATCCGCTCACCAGAGGCCACTTATTCGGCAGCAAAGCCTGGAAGCCTCCGTCTCTGGAGTGCACTGGCGCGTGCTGGCGTGCGAGAGTCGATGCGGCGGAGAAGGAGGAGGAGGAGGAGGAGGAGGAGGAGGAGGAGGAGGCGCTGCCACCGAGCGCGCGCTCGCCGCCGGTTACCCCCTCGCGTGCCGCCGCCCCGCCGCCCCCAGGCGCCAGAACTACGAGAACCCGCTGACCATCCGCGAGGAGGCGCGCCCCGGCCGCGGGGGCGCCCGGCGGGGCGCGCGTCGGTCGGGGGCGCGCGTCGGTCGGGGTCGAAATCCTCCTCCTACTCCTCGTCCTCTTCCCTCCTCCTCCATCCTTCTCCTCCTTCTCATCCTCTTCCTCCTCTTCCTCCTCCTCCTCCTCCTCCTCCTCCTAGTGAGGAGGAGACGGCCGTCTCAGTGAGGAGGAGACGGCCGTCTCTGCTTCTTCTTCTTCCTCCTCCTCCTCCTCCTCCTCCTCCTCTGCCGTCGCTGCTGCCGCTTCGCTGGGGACGCAGACAATGGGACCGTCTCCGCGAACTCGCGCGTGAGCTGCCAGCGTAGGGTGGCGCGTGAGCGCCCTCGTCCCCAAGGCAGCGTGCCGTGCGGGCGGCCCGCGCCAGCCGCGGCGTAAGGTACCCGTGTCATCTCGCGCAAGACCCCTTTCAGGTCGTCGCTCACTTTGACTCTGCGGAAATGTCCACCGCCCCAGGGTTCCTGAGGCGGGAGTGTCCCACCCCACTTTTTATGTGCATTGTTTGGCAGTGCACGTCAGGCCCACCTCGAAGTCCGAACATCTTCTGCCAGAGTGCGCCGGGTCCTGAGCTGGTCGGGGGCGTCCAAGACCCAGATCCATCCCGTTCCGATTGATTCTGGCAGCGCTTCACAGGATCTGGTCGCGACCGAAATGCTGAGAATGAGCGTTCAAAAGCGATGTCGAATGGATTGCATGCACGATTGGAAGTGCGCTTGGAAGCCGGTAGCGCGCTACCGAAATTGGTTTGGGCGCTACCCAATTTGAGCGCGTCGTCGCTACCGAATTTCGTTTCAGCGCGACCGAAGTTCGTGATCGTCGTTACCGAATTTCGTGATCGCCATTACTGGATTTCCACGAGTGCGGATGTCGGTGGCAGAGGTGATTGCGCAGATTCTCGCGTTTCTGATCTTCTCGTTACCGATTCTCGTGGTACCGAAGTTCGATGTCCCGCTACCGAATTTCGTTTTCCTGCTACCTATTTTCGCTACCGAATTTCGTTGTCCCTCTATTCGCAAGTATTCGCAACTGTTCGACGCGACCGAAAAATCCGACATCTGGTCGCGACCGAAATTGTGTGCTGCTAGAAGTACCCCTGGGCCAAGGTACCCCCAGGATTTTCGGGGTGACCCAGACGGCCTCCAGGGCACCCCTCACGAGGCCTAGAGGGCCCCATGGGGCTCCCAAGTGGAGCGAAAAGTTGGGGGCACCCTGGGCCAGGGGCACTTCTAGCAACGCCCGACGAAAATCGACGAACGCCCAAATCGCTACCGAATTGCCGGTATCGGATGATTTGGGGAGGGTGGGGGGAATAAGACCAGGTGCGTGGATGTCATGGTTGGGGCCATGATACCTCCCCAGATCTCTTCCAAGGCGTCCCTTGGTCCCCGCCTCGTCTGAACACATGCATCGGGACATGCTCTGCGAAGCCCCCTCTCGGCCGCTGACGAGCGTGGGCGCCGTGCTTTCGCTGCTTCTTTTGCGGCGGCGGTGGCGCCCGTCGGCGGCGGCGGCTGCTGCCGCGGGCGGTGGGTTGAGTCGGGCATGCCCCTCTACAGGAGGAATACTCAACAACAGTAACCAAATAGTCCAGGGACGATGTGTCGAGTATTTTTGAATATGTTTGGAACATGTTTTGACTATCTTTTTTTTTGTTCGTCTAACAGCCGCCTGTAGGAGGACATGCCCAACCTCAGCGGTGGGTGACCGGGGGCTGCCAGTGCCGGCGAGAGCCCGGGACGCCCCTCGCGCCGCGAAGAGGTCAGGCCAGGCTCCCCGCAGTGCATGCACAGTGCCCCGCAGCCCCCGCAAGGTCATGTCTCTTCGGGATGCCACCTCTCGAAGAAGAAAAAACGCCTCCGGCGCCGCCCCTGGCGCGCTCCGCGCGCCAGGGAGGGAGGCCCAGGCGCGGATCCAAGAAATCCGCGCGGAGCGCCAAAAGTTTCTGTTTCTCCTGTTTTTTCTTCCTCTAACCTCCCCAGATCCCCCTCGAGTCAGGAAAAAACCCACGACAGGAGATTTTTTGCTATTTTCGGCCTCTGGGAGGCCTTTGCCGGCCATCGGGGCCGTCAAAACACGGCTCGGGACGAGAAGCGGGTCCTGGGGAATGGGTCGACGCTGTGAAGAAGTCAGGACGTCGGGGGTCCTGGGTCCCCTGACCTTTCAGAGAGCTTTTTTTTTAGCACTGGAGACCTAAAAACCTAAAAAGCTGAGCGAAACAGCCTAAAACCAAAACGTAGAGCTCTGGGATAGGTTTTTAAGTCGGGTGCTATGTTTTAGCCCTCCTGGAACGTCTGGGTCCTGGGGGGCCCAGATCCAGGATTGCCAAGAAGGGCTGTGGGGCGAGGAGGGTCAGGGCAGGGTTGAGTCGTGCATGCCCCTCTACAGGAGGGAGATTCAAAAACAGTCAGAAGAAGAGGGCCAGGGCAGGGTTGAGTCGTGCATGTCCCTCTACAGGAGGGAGATTCAAAAACAGTCAGAAGAAGAAGAAGAAGAAGAAGAGTCTGGACCATTTCTGACTATTTTGCAGTCCGCTTTGACGCATTCAAGTGTTTCGCCCAAAATCCGCCTGTTGCTGCAGGGGGGCATGCCCGACCGAAGGGTCAAGGGGTGCCCGGCAGTCGGGCCAGCAGCACCACGGACCGCAGGGGCGGCGGGCCCCTGCGCGGCTGCCTGAGCTCTGTACGGTAGGTTTGCGTCGTGTCGACCAGCGGCGACCCCAGCGCGGGCGTTCAAGGTTGAACGCCGCCAGCGGCCCAGAATCGATCGATGTTGAACGATCGGACGTTGCGGCAGCGGCCGATCGTTCAAGGTTGAACAATCCCTGCGGTGTCAAAAACCAACGCCAGGGTCGGCACGACACGAACCTGCCGTACGCGCCCGTGTCGCGGCTGGCCGTCAGTGAGATGGTCGAGGACTCCTAGATTTAGTCGGGCCTGTCCCTTACAGGGGGAAGACTCGGAGCCCCGAATCATCAGGGGCAACTCGGGTCGGGGCTAACTCGGGTTCGTTTTTCGGGAATCCGAACCCGAATTGCCCCGGGCCCGAGTTACCCCGGATAACTCGGGCGTCCAACAGATTCGAAAATAGAAAAATAGTTTGGGGCTCTGGACTCCAGAGCCCCAAATCATCAGGGATAATTCGGGTCAGGGCTAACTCGGGTTCGTTTTTCGGGAATCAAGCCCGAGTTACCCGGGGCCCGAGTTACCCCGGATAACTCGGGCGCCCAACAGATTCGAAGATAGAAAAATAGTTTGGGGACGATTGTTTTATGAAGTTTGGCCATATTTGAGAATATTTAGGCTATGTTTATTGTTCGTTCAAAATCCGCCTGTAGGGGGACATGCCTGACCTAAGTCTAGATAGGTTCGGAGTAGGGGTCGGAGGATCGCGCCGCATTGCCGATGCACCAGCGATGCGTCGGCGATGCGGCTGGATGTGGAGCCCAATTTTCTCCACGCCGACGTCGCCGATGCATCGCCGACGTCGCCAGTGCATGGCCGATCTATCGGCGATGCGGCGCGATCCTCCGACCCTGCCTACTCCGACCCCATCTAGGAGGCCTCTAAATGGACGGACGCGTCGCCTTGGGTTCATGTCCTGACAAGTGTGACGACCAAGCGCAGCCAAGGCACGTGTCTTTTTTCCAATAGGAGTTCATGGAAGCACTTATGAATGGGGACACCTGCGGGCTTGGTGAGGCGGGTGGTTCAGACGTTACGCGGGTACACATAGGAGGATGTTGCACCTGTCCCGTCGAGAAGATACGGGCCCTGGGCCCGCGGAACGTGCCACTTGCCCCATGCCCGCATGATCCAGCCCCGACCCCAAACATGTTTCCGTCCTTTCCCCCACCCCCGGTTTTTGTGTGCAAGGAGAGTGAAGAGACGAAGGGAGGAGGATGGGGGAGGTATTTTTCTCAACTAGGCTTTTCTCAAACGGTCCACATCGCTTGCTCAAGGAATGGCCTGCAGATTTGCATTCGTGGGCCAAGCTGTGTGCCTTTCCTTCGCCCCAAGGGCGCGCATCGTAGGGGCCACCAACAATGGAGAGGGGATGGGCAGGGACAGCACGATGTTGCACTCGTAGGTGTGTTTCTTCTGATTATTGCGGGGTGGGCGGGGGGGGGCGTCCCTCTCCAAGTCCTGGAAAAGAGATGTTCTTAGTTGCGGTTGCCACCAACAGGAGCGTTATCTCGAGGGTGTCGCCCCGTGCTGCCAGCCCCCCATTTTTTCCCTGCGTGGGTGGGTGGGTGGGTTGATTGATTGATTGGCTCATCGGTTGGCAGATTGGCAACTCAGCCGGTTGGCCGATCGCCTGATTAGCAGATCGAATTGTTGGTTGGTTGGTTGGTTGGTTGGTTTGCAATTATGTTGGATAGCCGGCCAGTTCGCTGGCAGATTCACTAAGGAAGGGAAGGATGTGACAAGGAATGGATGGAAGCAGGACCGAGCATGGCTGTGCGCTCTCAGCATGCTGGGCGATCCAATGCCGTCAAAACCTCGATGTCGAAAGGGCGGATATCTTCAGGAGGGGAAACAACACATACCGATGCATCGTCGATCCCCAGGAAAAATGCAGGAAGATGTGGGACGGGGGGGAAGACGAACACCCATAAGGTCTGGGAAAATTTGGGGAGTCCTGGGATTCGTGTGCGTGTGTGTGTGTGTGTGTGTGTATTCATTTGTGTGTCCCTCCCTGGGCGCCTTTCAAAAACCACGATGTCCAGAGGGCGGAGATTTGCTCTCCGCTCACGGCGCACGAGTTCTGCGTCGAGGCACTTCCGGGGCGCCTCTCCTCGAGGCGTGCAGCCTCTCCTGCCCTGCGCTGGGGAAAGAGACAGTGCGGCGGCGCGCAGGGGCACGCGCAGCACGACGCCATTCGTGGAGTTCTGGGCACTCCCTTCCCGAGGGGCCTGTTCGAGTACATCTATATCTATATCCGTAAGGGCTTCGCCCCCTGCCGCCGGCCCC